CCCGGCCGGAATCTTTTACCGCTTTCCATGGACGGCGACGGCGCGGGGCGGGCGCGCTGGCGGGTCCAGAGGCGGCGTGGACCACTCTCACTAGTCGCCTGCAGTCACGGGGGGAGGCGGCCCGCCGGCGGCGCCCTGTGAAGAAGTGGGTCAGCAGAACGGGCCGTGCCCGGCCGGCCGGCCCGTTACGGCCGCTGCACGGTGACGGTACACCCGTGTCCTACCCTGGCCGGATGGGCAGGAACAGGGAGCGTCCGACCGCCACCTTTTACAGCCGGCAGACCGGGCGCCGTGATCCGTGGCGTGAGATCCGCGTGAGATCCGTGTGGGATCTCCTCGTGGGTCCGCTGGTGTCGCTGTTGCCAGGCGAGCGAGCGGTGCGGAAGTAGGCCAACTCCACCGGGGAACAGCAACTAGCGGGACGGCTTTCCACCGTTCCCGGGAAGACGGAGACAGAAGGAATGCTTGCAAGGATAATTCATTCTCAAAAGCTTTGTGACTTTTGTCTAGACCGGATTTTGATGAAGACGGATTGGGTGAAGGATTGATGATTGTCCTGTCCCTTTTGTGTCGGACAATCAGTGCAAAATGTTTGTTAAAAATGTTAGCCCCGATTTCCTAGCTCATCAACTGTTTTTTTTTGTGGTTTGATTTTTGTGAGCAATGTTGAAGAAACATGATTGTTAAATCTAAAGCTGGTCAATTATGTTGTAGGTTGGTGACACAGACAGGTATGCAAATTGCAATGGCACACCTGACAAGTACAATATGATTCATGTTATTATGTTTTTCGACCAATGATAATAAGTATTTTAAAGGTTCTAATGTACTGGCCTGGCCTACACTCAGCGATTGAGCATGCTTTAAATAAAGGATTATAATTTGAAACAATCGTAATCAAACAAATTAAGCACGACTCCTCGGCTAGGCCAGGATATCGGCGCTGGTCTATCCAGACCACCCGAACGACGCACATTCATTCAGCGTTACCCGAATGAGCCGTAAACATCTATGTAGAGGGTTATTCTCTCAAATGTTCGGATAATGTTAACTGGAAAACACAATAATTTAAAATCCAGTGAGCTTTAGTTCCAATTTAGTTCGGAAGAAATATCTAAGAATATAAAAATTGATTCGTTTCCCAGAGGAAATGCAACTTAACTTCTATAGCGTCATGAATACATGAATTACAATAGATACAGCAAAGTCAAATTGGACTGATACAGCTTTCCGGCCAATTGACAACGCGCCGAGCATGCCAGAACCCTATTAGGTGCAATAAAAAATAATGGGATGCTTTTAAAGGTAGTCTAGAAAGATTGGACTCCAATCTTTCCATCATGCTGATACGCCGAAATGCTTCTGTGGCAGTATGTTATGTAAATGTTTAATGATACTTTATTGCATTGGAAAAAGATAAAATGTCACCGTCAAACGTCCTTCCGCGAATCCGCACCGATCATAAGACATCATCCATGAGTTCGTTATATAAGGGCAGATGTTTGGCTCGGTCTTAGATGCATGGGCGCAGGACAAACCAGGTCAAGAACAAGAGCATATGTTAGTGTTTTGTTGAGTCTCCGCCTTATAATTTTTGGTTGTATCGTCTTCCAGCTCACTATCTGCCGCTAGCCAGCTCAGTTCAGCTGCTCAGCTCAGCTGAGAGTCAAACTTCGAGCCGCTCGCACTGTCTAGAACATCGAACAGCAACCGACCGTATCACTAGGCAGCGAGACTGGAGTCGAGCAAAGTCTGACGCCTCGAGGGATAGCACCGCGGAAGTTAGATATAACGGGATCCGGCCGTGTAAAAATACCGTCCGATTGGCAAGAGGCCGAACTTTTGCTTTGCTTCAGGCGGAGTTAACCGGCTGGGCCTGAAATAGTGCCACTTTGACTAACTTGAACAGAACAGAGAAAACACATGCATATTTGCTTACAATGCATTATTCGAATTGCGTGGGAAGTGTATTTATTAAAGCATTCATAAACATTATTTTTAAATGAGCGTCAAATGCGCGCTGAGACGATGGCTTGAGTGTGTCTCCAGGCATGTGAGTCTTCTCTGGTCCACCTGATAATACAGCCACCCCAGCCCACCGCGGCGGCACCTCTGTGGGACGCGCCATGAGCGGACAAAGGTCACCGGTCAGCTCAGACGGAAAGGGGGGTGGTGGCGGCCGGTTACACATGGATATAATAGTGGATTCTAGATAAAGCCCCGAGATGGGACGCCACGTGGCGAGCGCCGAGCGAACAAAAACATGTGTACGATCTGCACTAAGGCACAAGCCAGCGATGGTGACTCTCTTATTACTCTACCTGAGATGTGAATAAAATGATCGCCTTAGCTGTAGGGTATTCTACCTATTTGGCATTGCTTTTATGAGATGCTGTTTAAAATCACGCTAAGAACATTCATGAAAATAATGATAGAACTATATTAGTCATCGGCCATCACCGGCTGAGAGAGGGGGGGGGGGAGACAGGTGCACTGTAGTAGTCATCGCCGGTCGAGGGGGGGGGGGGGCAGGTGTCAACCTTGTCCTGACGGTTTTCAAACTTGACATGCACATGGTTTTCGAATGATAACGTTCACTCCTTTGTGGTCACGCGCTGGTTTGATTCCACCGGAAGCTAAACAAGTGTTCATTAGCTTCCATGAATCATCCTTCCTTACTTTACGTCATTCATACATCGCTCGTGACATTGCGGCGAGCAGCCCCGCTGTTCCAGTTCCTTCTCCGGCTGAAGGAGGGACCGAAAATGTCCAATTTTAGTCAGAGCGCCGGCTCGGAGCCGGTGTGAGCTGGTTCAGCTACGCGCCACCGGTACCGGCCGGTGCAGCCGTCTGTTCTGGCCACCGGTGTCGTCAGCCGCTGACCGCCAATTGCGGCGCAGTTGTAAACAGACCACACGAAATCCAAGGTCGGCGCCGCACGCCCATGTGACGTCACACGGGCGTCATCGCCGTCACGCGACACGTGCCGAGCAGTCCCGTACCGACTCGCACGCGCCGAGTTATGAATTCCATGTGACATTGCCCAATGATGGCGGTGAGACTGTTTATTAGGAGCAACCAGGCGCTCCTGCCCAAACAGCACCGACCAGACACGTGTGGCAGCGTTCCAAGAGACTTGAATGTTTTTCATGGCCGGTTTATGATGCTGTGTGCTAACCGCATAGTTTGTGAGCTCGACTTTTGTGAGCTGAATGAGCTACGCATCAAGAATTACGGTGATAGTTCACTGCGGTTGTAAAGCACGTTTCACTTCGCTGTTGATAGCACTGTGTAACGATATGGTGCTATCAAATTCGTAGTAGAATCATATCATGGCCTTTACCTTTAGGCCAATAGCCACTTCCCGGCTCGGGCTCAACTACTGATTCGAAGTTATATACGAGATTTCGGTAGCGGTAATTCGTTGCTTAGCGAATAACCTCTTCTTTAGCGTGTAGTGTAAGCTGATGCCGAATGTACCGTTTACAGCTTATCAAACGTCCATGATTCATGAATGTCTATCTCTATAAAATGCTTCATGCCGTCTGTACAACCAGGCACGTATACACAGGCACCTCTGCTTTTGTGTGAGTACCTTCACTGAATGTTTCATCTCCCGAATTGCTCATCGCCGCTACGAGCGCATACCTACACCTGCACCTGGGACATTTCCTCTGGATTGTTCGCGAACATTCTAAGAACGACAACGCCCATCGTCCACAACCAACTGTCCCCCACTGTTCAGTGTTCACCCTCTACCGTCTCCGTCCACTGTCCACTACACTGAGAAACACTCAAGCCTATCCATGGTTCTCGGAGACCATGCAGGGGTCGTTCTGGTCTTGTATGAGAGCCTCAATTGGGGAGAACTTTGTTTACAGTTGTTGGTCTCCAGTTTGGTAAAGTTCTCAGGTTTTTCCCGTAACGTTCTCGAGTGAGAATGGTGTGCTATCTTGAACGAGAACTTTGCCCGGATAAGATCCTCTTATACTGCGGGATGATCTCCCATGAGAACCTTTACCAGGTCATGAGATCATAAACGAACACAATTCCCGCTCATAATATGATCCTGTATGGTCTCCGAGAACTTAACAACTTAAGAGCGCCGGCTTTCCTGGCACGGCATTCGCGCTCACGACCCATTCCCCCCTCTCCCCTCCCTGTAGAGCGCCAGCTTTTCATGGCACAGCATCCGCGTTCTCGATCCTTCCCATTCCCTCCATGCACAAACAAGGTAAAGAACAGGCATGTATATTTATTGTGTCAGATGTAAAAAACTCACTCTGGAACAGAACATGCGATGCAGTCATTCGATGCGAACATTTTGTTTCAAAAGCTGCCCAAACCCTTTCGCTTGTCGCCCCAGTCAGTACCGACCAGCGTGCTGAGTTTCAACTGTGTCGCTTAGCAAGAGACCATAATATCTCCCGGTGCACGACAGCTCAGTCCCTTTACTTTACTTTTAACACGGAATGCATGAGTGTGCAAAAATGCATGTCAAGCGGCGTTCCCCACGGTCCACAGACTGTGCGAACGATGTACAATTCAAACACTGTTAAGTACAGGCACGTACAATAGTTACACAGGCACAGACATTAAAAAGTTAATACAGGTAAAATGTATGGGCTGGCATGTGAACACTACCGACGGCAGTCCATGTGAGACCGAAGTCTAGCCATAGGAGCGGCGGAGGCGACGACAGCCGGTTGGCCGCTCTAGACAGTTTGCGCAGCTGGTAGCTGCATCTGGCTGGGGAGGAGCTACTCCAGCATGGCAGCCTGCTGACTGCTGAACCATGAGCGCCATCAGACGCTCCAGCTGCTCGTTGTCTCCCATCACCGGTACGAGCGATCCGACACGACGGTGTTAACTTATGTGCGTCTCTGAATCGGTGTCGCGCACAGGGTCAATCTCACTCGCGTACTGGCCACGCATATTATCGATTACACCACTATTTCACTATTTCACTGTGGCCGGACCGTCTCGGCGAACACGCCTCACCTCACCTCGCGGCACTCAGCTGTGTTGACACCAGCGCCGCTCGGACGATACTGACCCTCGGCCGCTCGGCCCGGCCCGGCCGGTCAAGGTCGTTCAAGGTCACGGCTGTCAAGGCGCGACACGCGTGACCCAGGGCCAGGACACAACAGGGACATTTTGGCGTTGTGCCCGATGAGTTGCCTCACTTCGGTGTCCAACATTGAGAGCATCGTCTCTACGGCTTCTTGCTCTGAAAGGGAGAGTAAGACAAATATTAGAGAAACGGCAGAAACGCTTAATTTCTGAGCCATATCCTCAAAGCACACGAATTGGTATTTAAGCAGATTTTGCTAACACTGGCAAACAGATGGCAATCGCAACCTATATCCCAAAAATGGGCAATGGCACACAGATTTTGCCACCTCCCAGATTAAGTAATTACCTTTGCTGTGGTTACTTTCAAGCTGTTAAGTGCACACAAAGAATACAGAAAACAAACTCACCATGAGACGTTCGCGCTGTACGCCAGACACCAACTCGCGAAAGGAACAACCACGCTGCCGGCAGCCTTCGCAGTGCTTTTGAGAAAGGAAGGACCGGAAGCACTGAGGCATTATAGAGATGTTCCTTAGGGATATCCATTTGAATTGGTTTGAACTGTTAAAATCGATAAACATCGTGTCATATAGTAAGGCTCTTTTTCATTAAAAATTATTTCTTCTACTGAAAAATACATGTTTTATTTTTATCAACAATTGCTATTTTCCTAAGCGAAAATGGAATCGCAGCACTTCAAACTGCTCTACTCTTAACACAGCGCCACCTACGCCTTTAGTTTCCTTCTGTGCTGACATCTGTCGTCAAAACACGTCAGCTGCGAGAACTATAAGGAAAAAAGTGAGAAGTTTACCATCCTTTCTGACCGAATGACTGCTGGTTCGAATCTCACCGCAGACCGACTGTTTGCGTTACACGGGTAGCTAGACAACTTCCAGTACTAAACTATCTCGGTCAAGACCAAATCCACTCCTGAAACCGAAGTGGAGACCATGCACAGTTCTCGGGAAAGACCAATTCCTCAAAGCGGCAAAATGGAAACCAAGGTACTCAGGTGAGTACTATCAGTATAAGTTCTAAAATGTGTTTCTCAGTGCAGGATATCCAGCGTCCCGGAATAGCGACCCGGAGGTGACCATGGAAGTCAGTTCATGTGGTGAGCCGCGGCCAAACGACGAATGAATCTGAGGGTCTGTTCCAGTCGCACTTCCTAACACCTCTAAACTCCTCCAAGAGCAAGATAGAGGAGGTTGGAGCAGGGCCCTCCTTGACTTTTAGGGGCTAGAGCTGCCACTGGAACAGGGAAGCAATATTGGAGGAGTTTAGAGGTGTTCGGAAGTGCGACTGGAACAGACCCTGAGTGAGCCGCCGCGTCTGTAGACCAGACAGTAGGCGCTGCGGCCTTGGATGACGTAGTGGAGTTCCAGGAATCCACCGCTACCGCTGTGACGTGGCGGCAGACAGGTGGAACCGAACGTGGCGCGCCTGAGACATGAGTGGCGCAGCTGGCGCCGGTGGAGGGGACACCCCGTGGTCGGCCCGGGCTGGTCCGGTAGGACCCGGCTGGACGATGCGTAGCAGGCGCCGCGTTGCGCGCCTCCTGGCCCTGGTTGCGTCAGCCGGCCGCCCGGGTCACGTGACCCCGGGTGGCTGTGACGTCAGTGTCCCACTCGGAGATGGCGGCGAGGGGTAAACTGTGTACGATTGAGAGACCCGGCAACGTGCGACGGCCAGAGCAGACGTCCGTCTGCAGCCTGGGCGCTTCAATAGTGCGCAGTTGCGACGTGAGGTTGTTGGCTTGGCCTGTTTCTATACGGTAAATATTTCCGCGCGGATGAAATAGTCATTGGGGCCGGTGCACGCTCCCCGTCACGCCAAACATATGTGGTCTTGCATGACACGGACGACGCTGTGCAATTTCGTTTGCAGGGCTGATGACAGTTACCGATGATTTGAAATAAGTTTCCCGAAATAGAATGGTCCAATTGGGTAATAGGTATCAGCATGTCTTTGGGGCAAGCTCGGGTAAGATGTCGTGACTGTGACATGACGGGCAAGACGTCATGTCGTGCTGCGCTTCGTATGTAATGATGAGATTGCCCTAAAACGATTGATATATGGTTATTAGCTGCGTGTGGGCTCCGCTCGCCTTAAGTTGTTGACCGTTTGTATCATATTGGCTAAAAAAATTAGCAACATCTATTTCAAGCGGATTTCGAGACCCTTCCTTCGAGCTTTCGTTGAGCGCCTGGAATTCGTGGACCATCCATCAGTTATTTGGGGATTATATTATATGTAAATTAAACGGAATAAGTAGCGATTCGTTGAAATATGTACCTACCTATTTAGACATCCGTTCGTTCTATTTATTTTGAGTTATATTAGTTTGGTAATGAATAGGGTAATATGGCTGAAAATGGGAAGCTTTGTTTTCTCAGAGAGAACATGCTAATGCACGCAATTAAACTGCATCAAAATTCAAAACGCAAATTTAACCCGCGCGGGGCTGGGTTGTCCAGCCGAACGCGCGGGGCTGGGGGGGGGGTAAATTTTACCCCCCCCCTGTTATCTCCCGAACTAATGGTCCGATTTGGAAAATTCAAACGCCAATCGAAAGATCTCATCACGAACAACTAAAAACATGTACTTAATTTTAAGTTTGAGGTCAAGGTCAAGGTCAGGTCAAGGGTACAAATTGCAAGTTCCTACAGTATCGGCCTTGCACCGTAGTTGCCGAAGAATGGAGTCATGGACTGAGACTGATCGCCCAAAACGTGTTCTTAGGCTACCAAGACAATATTCGTTGCATACAATATCATTCAGAGGTCAAGGTCAAGGTCAGGTCAGGTCAGGTCAGGTCACCAAAAAACAAAATATAGAAAAGGGCATGTGCGACACATGTTTTATGGGTCATTTTACTCATAGAATTCAATAGGCACACTCAATAAGTGATATGGACCACCTCTGGATGAATTTCAGGTCGAGGTCAGGTCAAGGTCAGGTCAAGTGAGGTCAAATTTTGAAGTTGGTTGTTAAGGCCTAAAAAGGTGTCTATCTGATGCAGTTTTTCAAGGCGAATCGAATGGTGCTATTTTTGTTTCCGTACGAGGTCTAGAACTTCCAAAAAAGTCATTTTTCAAAAATTTTGTGTGTCGTGACGTCATAAAATTTTGAATAACTCCCACATTTTTGAACCGATTCTTCTAAAATTTGGTATGTAGGTGCACATAGACCACTTCTCTGACATATATTCCGTTTTTTTTTTTCGATAGACTCAAAATTTTGGATTTTATAATGATTTTCCCAAAAAAGTCAGTTTTTTGAAAAAATTTAGGCAAAATCCAAAATTTTCAAAAAACCGAGATAGCCATTTGATAGACAAAGTAGAATTACGTATATCCTTTTTTTGTTACGTCTTGATTCCTTTAAAAATGAAGATGTTAGCGGCGTTTGAACTTTTGCCGTTTTTGAGGCGAAAATGGCGAACATGACGTCACTAAAACGTCAATTTCTCAAAAATTTTCCGACGGATTTCGCTCAAATTTTCAGGGAACGTGTCAAATTGATGTAAGAAAAGGTACTGAAAGTTTGGCGGCGCTGCGCGCCGCCGTTTTTGAGATATTGCAAAAATTCGCGAGGGGGGGTAAAATTTACCCCCCCCCAGCCCCGCGCGGGTTAACTCTCAATACGATGCGATATAGCTGCGCCGCGCGGCCTGCCTACTGTCTACCGTCCTGTCTGTCACCCGTCTACCGTCCTGTCACCCGCCTACCTTCACGGCACCCGTCTACCATCCTGTCCACCGACTGCCGTCCTGTCCACCGTCTACGTTCTGTCTACCATCTACCGTCCTGTCTACTGTCTACTATCCTGTCTACCGATTGCCGTTCTGTCTACCGTCTACCGTCCTGTCTACTGTCTACTATCCTGTCTACCGACTGCCGTTCTGTCTACCGCCCTGTCTACCGTCTACCGTCTACCGCCCTGTCTATCGTCTACCCTTGCGTCTACCGTCCTGTCTACTGTCTACAATCTACCGTCCTGTTTAGTGTCTACTGTCTTCCCGATCTGCGTGTCTCCGGGCGCCCTCGAGACGGATCGAGTCGTTTTCTGACGTGCTTGATATACGCAGATGGGCAGATGGGCAGGCCGCGTGCACGGAATATTCCCGGGTAAACGCCAGGCCAGACCGGCACTGGCCGTGGCGTAAATACTACGGCTCGAGCGATGGAATGGAGGTCATTGGCCTTGGGGACCGTCTGGATAATTCAATCTTTAATTTTGGTGATTTCTTCATTTTATCCCGGAGTCATGCGGTACTGTAAAAAAAAAACATTTTAATCTTATTAACTTGCATGAACAGAAAACTAACCAGAAGGCAAATTGAAATGTGGTATGGGTATTGGACATCGCACAAGTTTTCCTCATCTGCTAAAAATGGAAATATCATATAGTATGATCTCTTTGGGAACTACCGCTCTGGTTTTAGCTAAGCAGTCCTTCACTGAAGACGGGCCTCCACTGAAGACGGGCCTCCGCCGCATTCCCTGCTGATCCTCTGCATTGGGGTTTACCTCGGAAATTCCGAGCCCCATGCCAATTGGGAACTCGGACTGAGCTGAATGAAAACAGGGGAACATATTGACAGTGGCAGCAATGCATGCACTTTATTTTAACACAAGTAGTATACAAATATAGTTACTAGTTACTACCAAGTACCAACCATGTAGTAAATATGTAAGAAGACTGCAACGCTCAGGTGGAATCGAAGCGAACATTGCTAGTCGCGGTCTCGCTATATTTGACGCTCGTAGCTTAATGGCTGTTATCTATATATTTTAGGCTGGATGACACGGCTTACAATGCTATTAGACTTATTGTTCACCAAAAATGCTTCAAGCTTCCAGTACCTATGTCTCCCTAGACATATGTGCTGTTTTGCAGCACGAAATCATCCCCCCCCCCCCTCCCGATTGCGTCGATCGAGCCCTTGGACTGGGTTCTCCCCCACTCGCTCGTTCACGGAGTCGCCTGCTGATAAAATGCCGCCCTGTCTATCTTCTATCTACATAATGACCGTATCATGCTAGTTTCGCCACTGAAATGGGTGGGAAGAGGATGGACTTTGAACCAGTCACATCCTCACTCCTAACCCATACGGAAGGGCATTATCGGAACGCGTTATCTGAAAAAAAAAACAGCGTACAGAGGGTTACCATGTCGTCAAAAACGGGGATGGCCTCTGTATGCTGCTAAAACTCATGTAGGGGGACGGAGGGGCGTCAAGGGACGAGACCTTCATTGAAACACGTCAGATACGACGAACTTTTAATCGCATACCTATAACCTACTTGACGCACTGGTGCGCAAAACCTTCTATAAAACTACGTCAGTATTGTCTCTGCAGGGCTTATGAAGAAATTCTAATATAATTACCAGTAAAACGCCTTTTGGGCGAAGAACGAGCGAGCGAGATAATGAGCCCTGCACGTGAGGAAGGGCGAGAGGGTGCTTCCAACGGGCTTGCGCAAAGCACCCTTCTAACCGGTCGCTAGCGGTGTGCCAAATTTGAACGCAATCGGCCCAGCCGTTCCTGAGATCTGGAAGCGGCATTCTGTACGTGCGCACGTGCAAACGGGGTCCAAAATGACTTTTGCACGGCACCCTACTAATTGGTCCCCAACCGTGTACCAAATTTGAGCGCAATCGGCCCAGCCGTTCTCGAGATCTGGAAACGCCCCCTGCACGTGCGCACGTGCAGTAGCACCCTAACCGCAACATATGGGAATGCATTGCCTGGTGGGTGCCTACCTGTATGCCAAGTTTCAGCGAAATCGCCCCAGTAATTACCGAGTTACTGAAATGGGAACAAATTTGGCACCTCTTATTGTTGTATTTTGCACGTGCACTGGGGGTGACCCACATGCATCGAGAGTATCCTATTTTGGGTAGAAGGGATGCTGCTACCCTACAAAAATTACCGCAAGTCAATCGCCCAAGCGGCTGCTGAGGTATGAGCCTCTCAAAATCACTACTT